ATTTTTGCTGAGACTTTTGTTAGCTTTGTTCTCAAAGGAAATATTCTTCATTTTTCCTAGGAGATTTTTTAGCCCAAACTCCACTCAATTTAATATCTGACTGTCCAAAAAAAGTCATCCAAGCTCCAGTGATTTTTTTTTTTTTTCCCTTTTCAGTTTTCATTTGCAAAAGAAAAACCAAACATTTCTGCTCTGGCTGCCCCACAGGATTGCTTTCTGCCCTGTTTTTCAGAGTCCCCCTGGAACAGCGAGAGCCCTCCGGTGCTCGGCTCTGCTGTCTGGCAGCCTGGGCCGGCATCTGCGGCCGCTCTCAGCTCTCAAAGGGCCTTCGGGAGAGGCTGATGCACCCCACGTCCCGCGCTGCCATGCTGGGGTCCAGCTTTCCCATTTAATTCATCAAACTTCTGAAAAACCTGTGTATAAGCAAGATGCAGCCCCAGCAGCCGCAGCACGCTGGATCCTGTGCTTGGTAGGTGGCCTGTATAAAAATAACGCCCATAGAAAAAGAACACCCATCTGGCCCTCAGGTGCTGGGTACATTTCACACCACAGGCTCGCTGAGCTACCTGGGCCTCCCAGCTATGTTTTAGCTGCTGCCGTGTCCTCCCCGCGCTGGCTTGGTCCAGCATCACCTCGAACGGCAGCGCCTGATCCAGCCACAACCTCACCCCCCGACGGGCATCGCCCCATCGGCACCAGCGCCAAAACCACTTTTGCAGAGGGGCTGCACCCCTCGAAAACCCCTTTTCCGCGGGTGATCCAGCGCACCTCGGTACAGCAAAGCCCTTTTTATTTGTCCTCTTTTTCTTTTCCCTTTCCTCCTCCTTCTCTCTTTTCATTGCAACTTTAAAAGAGGCCGCGAGTAAAGCATGGATCAATTTGGAATGGAAAGTTCCTGTAAATAATAGCTACACCTCGGGGTGTTTCCTCTCCCAGTAGCTGTGAAGAAAAGGCGGGTACGTCTAGGATTTGACTTGAAACATATTTCCGCTGGCCAGGGCTGCGGAGCCGGGTTCTCACCCATATTAGCATTTATTGTGGTTTTGTTCAGGCTTTTCCTC